CATGTATAGTATATCTATTTTATACTTATACACATGCGAATTTCAAAAATATAAATAAAATTCAAAATGTTATTAAAAGTCAGATAAAATTCTGTCTGGAAATCAAGGAAAAGTCAGAGAATTTTGGGATAAAAAATTTGTGGTAACCCTGGTGTAAATCTGTTTACATTAATTTGCTTATTGACATACAATGTGTTATAATATTATGTATTCTGCCTAATTTTGTTTATATTTTTATATATTTTAAAGAATAAGGTTGCAATGTTATTTTCAGAAACACTACCCGAGTACTTCCAAATATTTTATTCTTATTTAATATTTGATAAAAAACAAAAAATGATATTCAGAAGCACTTGGGTCATGTTTCCAAAGTCAGTTTAAGTTATTTTACTTTTTGTAATTTTATTTTTATGTTTCTTAATTGACAGAAATACCACAAACTTTCAATTGGACTCACCAAGCAACTATCAATATAGGCAATACTATATCTTCTTTATCGTCTACAAACTTGTCTGAAAATAATTATAGAGAAAGTAGTGTTTGCACTATGCATACAACAGAAGTAAGAGAAAGAGAAGAGGAACAACAAAATACATTAATACCTGCAACAGAAGAAACTTCACTTTCATCCACACTGATTGCACTCAATCAAACTCCTATTCCTGAAATTCCATCCATTCCGGCATCCTCAAGGTGCGATGAAAATGAATATTTATGCAGGTTTTCTAGAATATCAATTAAAACACTGTTTTTGCTGTTTGGTTTTACATAAAATTGTTTTTGCTGTTTGATTTTACATGAAATTTTATTTAATAAATCGCCAAGATGATTTAGGCGTAATTCTTTCCATACAAATTTTATTGAATATGTTCTACTTTGTTATAGTTCTTGTTCACAGTCTTCTACTCAAAGCAGAAATAATGAACAGAATGAAAATACAACACAAAAAGCACGAAGATCGAAACAGTTATATGAATTGAGGAAAGAGCTGATTGAGAGTGAGAAGAAAAAATAGAAGTGATAACTCAACTTACAACTGCTATTAAGGAAAGCAACAACATAGAAAGCCAAAAAATAGCTGCTATTCAGGAATGTAATGATTTACAAAGAGAAATAAACAGATTGTTTGAAATTTTAGTAGAGTTGCAGAGAAAAGTAAAATGAAAGTAACAGAATACGTTAATAACAGCTAATAGTGACAGATAAAAGGTACAGTATAAAATACAATAATTAAAATAATGTCGATGTTTATGTATTTACATATTATGTTATGACTATATCATTATGTGATTATTTTATTAGCAATTTATGTAAAATATTTACAAATTTAATTAAATATAATGATGCAGTATTTCAAATTTTATACAATAACTTCCGTTTTATAACCTTTTTACTTTTCTCGTTCCTGAAACAGTATTATAAATACAATTATCTTCTCATATCAATTTAAAATTTTATGCGGAACTTTTGTTTTTAGCTATTAATTGCTTCAAGTGAATTGAATTTATATTTTGATTTGAAAAAAATTAATTTATAATTTATCTAACAATTTAAAAATTCTACGCTAAATAAAGGGGAAGACGTTTAATAACTGCAATAATATACAAGATAACCATTAAACATAAAATTAATTTTTATGTTACAGATTAACAAACAGGTTATAATGTAAAATTTCCTGAGATGTTTCTCAGCGTCCTTCCAAATGACTGGTCTTGTATTAAAGTGCTATACATATATATATGTAAAATATTATATCTTTTTAATAAATTATGTATACAAAGTACAATCGTGAATTGTTACGTCATCATCATGGCAAGGTATGAGCCATTCAACAAACAGTTGTTAGATGATCCGTAAAACATGTTATTACCATTCCATCTTTTTCGTTATTTTTTCTCTTCATACGCCTCGTGCGCTTGAATCGGGCGTATCATCTTATCCAAATAATCCCGCAGAACAGTATTAAGATAAAAATATAATGTAATACGTTTTAATATATATTTATAGCTGCTCTGTAATATGT